ATTTTGCGACCCTTGTGAATCCTGAAATTTTAACGTCGACTTAATTTACAAAATTATTATATAGAGATTCCTTCCATTTTTGTTTTTTCGCGAATGGCATAAAGTTGATTCACTTTCATTTTTTGAATTATGTATTAACTCCAAATTCTGAAAAAACCGATAGAATTCCCCGGATTCTTAAAAAATTCAAGAAAAATTTGGATTTTTTCTTCATTTGAGAAACATTTAGAAAGTTATTCAGTTTTTTTTAGAGAATTCTCGGATTTTGTGAATACTTGAAGAAAACTTTTTTAGAAAAATCAATTCATAACACTTCTCTTATTTTTCAACAATTACGGGTATTGATCAGGTCACTTTGAAAACTGAAAGGGAATTGATGAAAGATTCAAAATTATCCATTAATTATTCACTTATCACCGACAGTGATGGCTGTATGGTTACAGCGCGGGGTTGGCACGCGGACGACTCGGGTTCGATTCCCGGTTGAGGGGTCAAAATTATTTTTTAACGCTCTCATTTTCACAGATTCATTGTACGAGCGGGAGTCTCGCAAGGGACGACTGTACCTGGTCAAGGTATTTCCCTTGAGGTTTTTCCTTGGCCCTCGGCGAATGCGGTACAAGGGGATGGGGGATGGGAAGGGAACAAATCGTAAAAACCCGAGAGGGTATACGAAAGAACAAAAATTTATTCACTTATCATTCATCTTTACCATTGATAGAGCCTTTTTTCCATACATCATTCATTTGTATAATGCATTTGTAAGTGTATAACATTTAATAGATTTGAAATTTGGAGATTTTCAAGTCCCCAATTGAGACTTTCGAAAGTCTTAAAATGAGACCTTCGAAAATCTCAAGGGGAGAGTTGCAGAACTCAATTTAAGATTTTCGAAAGTCTCAAATAGAGAGTTCCAACCGTCTCAATTCGGAAGCGTAAGTCTCAAATTGGGATTTATTCATTTTTGGTGTTTGTATAATCTACTTATGAGAGTATAAAATTTAATATATTCGAAATTTGAATGAAGAAAAGAAAGCTTTCCACACTCGAATGAGGCGATTCGCAATTTCTTGATTTTAATTGTTTTTACTATCTTTAAATAGAGAAAGGGTTGATACCATCCTTCGGGAGTGGTGGAGAAATGAAGTAGACGGTATTCGTGCATACTAACGAAGCCCTGCATAGGAAAACTATCCCCAGTGGTGTGTACCAAGATAGAAGGTGTAGGTACTACATCTTCTAATTTATGCAGATAGACTTTTACATTCCAAATTGGCTGCTTCAAACGTCATTTATTTAACGGTAGACTCTCTATTGGGTACAAGGAAAGACTACCAGTGAAGAAACTGCAGAACGTAACCAACACTCTTTCGATTTATGCGACAGAAATTTACATAATTTCGTGCTTCTCGGAAATTTTGGATAAATTGAAAAAGTCAAATAGCTTAATCAGCCATCGAAATACAAAAAATGAGAAAATTTAAACGAAATTGACTATCGCAGGTGTAGAGTGAACATTTAAAGCTTGTGTCCAAAATGTTCGAAGATATATTCTGGTTGTTTGCTTCCGAGTGGAAGTTTGTAATCGTTGAGTTTAATGATCTTCTAACATTGTCTGGAGATGACGTAAAATGTCGCGAAATGCGAAGATATGATATTTTTATTAAATGTGTGTATGTATGTCTGGATGTAAGTGCGAATTTTTCGGAAAATCTTTGTAAATCTTCGCAGAAAAAGGACTAAAGTTGAAGCTAAAAATCTGAAGTTTCGTCACATAATTGGTATTACTTTGGAGCACTTCTGGACGCAATTTTAGCTCAGTCGGTGAAGTAGTTTTTGAGATACAGTAATTCTTTAAAAATCTTCCTTCCTCGCTATCTGGACAACTACGTGACTGAATTGAATTATTTTGACGTCAAAATATCCGTTGTGATAATATCTATCAAATCAAATCACAATATTGCTATGTGTTATGTACATTCTCGTAATGTGGGTGAAGCCCAAGAATTTATTTTCTATTATCACTACGAGAGGTGATACATTATCAAGCTACCGTATTTTCACTTGATTGGTTTCCTATTTTTTAATGAATTTGTGAATTATTCCGTTGAATGGTGAAGTTAAATGTTTTTAGTTTAATTAATTTTTTGAAGACTTGATAAACGTTTTAAGATATTTAATGACGTGATGGGTGTTTAAAAAGACTACTTAAATGTTTGGATTCCAGGTTAACACTTATATATTTTACATTTATCAAACACTGTACATAGTAGTCAAATTTGGTTTAAGTAGTTACTTGCTCGAGAGCGAAGTTAGAACTGACGAAAAATTTGAAAAAATTTTAGAGTAGGATTTCAAGAATGGAGGGGATAGTTTGGACTGTTTGTGATTGGATGAATTTTACATTTCAGTAACAATTACTAGGATTGGTTGGATTGACAAATAGTAGGAGAAGAGGGTGGTACCGCGTGGGTCCGAAGGGTCCGCGTGCACTGGAGGGGTACTCAGGTAAAAGGGATGAGTGTACATCGAGTTTCCAGCTTCGAGTTTTCAATGGCTTTTGTTTTGGACCTTTTATTTGTCATAAATTACCGTAATAAAAATTGTCTAGACATTTCGGATTTTTGAATTGTTGAATGAAGCTGTAAAAACGATTGGCAATTTTGAGGATTAAAGACATGAATGATTGGAAAGGTTGAATGAATGTGCGTGGGTCGTTTCTTTCCTTGGAATATGAATTGAAAAAAGCTATAAAACTATGGAATTTAGGAAAGACTGAATATTTACTGAATCAATGTTCAAACTTCTAAGAAATTTATTCAAGAACGTTTTTCGGTTTATGACCGTTTGCTCGGAAACTAATAAATTGAAATTTTAACGTGATATTTCCCAATCTTTTGTATTTAAAGTTTGGGAATATCGAATAAATGTGAACAAGAAAATTTTCTTCTTCTTTTAAAATTCTAAAAATGGTTACAGCTGCAACACTATGTAACCAGCACAAGTTCAGTAATTATCGGCATTTTTGGTTTTTATGAGGAAATCGTTCTTTGCACGATAACACCCGAAAAAATTTAGACGGAATGTTGAAATTTGGGGAGATTGTAGCTCTTATGATATTTCAGGATGGGATTGTGAGTATGCGAAATCGGATAAGTTGTTTAGAAATATTCAATTTTTTGTGAAAAACTGTTTTGCTCAATATCTCTCAAACTAATGGTCCGATTAATTTTTTTTTTTCAAAATACTCGTCTTGCTGCCCCTTATCGAGATCAATCCAAATATATATGAATGCTCGTTCATATAAAATTTTCGAGATATTCAAATTTTTCTAATTGTTTCTTTTGAAAATTGATGTGACGTTCCATAATACGCGTAAAACATGGAATAAACATCTTAGATTTTGGCTACGTCTTAGTATTATTGAGTCACACTTGTGTATAAAATTTTTGGTCGATCAATTCAATACATCCTGGCACAGAGCTTTTTTTTTATACAGTCACTCACTGTCATTTTATCGATCATTTTCGCCTCCCCGAGTGGAAATTGCTTCAGACCGATCTGAAGCACGATCAGAACTTGATCAGGTTTTTGTAAGGTTCAACTGATTCGATGATTCCTGATGAGAACCTGACCAAGTTTTGATCCAGTAGATCGGATCCGAAAAACTGCAGGATGATTCAGATCAAGTTCTGATCAAGTAGGCACGATCTCACCCTGAGGTCAGCTGCCTGACCCCAATTTGATCAAATTCGGATTTGATGTCCTTGATCGGCATTTGAAAGGAGTCAATTGAAGAGAAAATGATCGGATTCAGATCCGCTCCACCTGACATTAGTTTTATTATAATAAGTTTTCCGGATAATTTAATTAACTATTATTATACTATTCAAATTGAGTTTTATCAACCATTATCATTAATTATTTTCAATCTTTAAAAAGGATCATTATTGAACTAATTTAATGAATTTAATTTTGTTGAGGCATTAGCCTCGTGGAATTGGGTCACTCCTGTGTCCACTCGTGGCAGCACCTCCTGGGCGCGTAACTGTTTTATCGGGCACGCCCCAATTAATTGGGACCGAGGACACCTGCCGCGACACTTGACCCATCTCGTCACTTCCGCCTTCTTCTCTAATCGCCTTGTGACAAGCGTGCTTCGTGCAATTTTGTCTCCGCGATTAAATCATTAATTACTGTGACCATCTCTATCGTGAAAGTTCTCTACCGGATCTCTAACTATTTGGTAGCCAACAGTATTCATTGTGACACATATATTTCTTGACTCAGTTGTGTATTTTATCAGAAATATACAGTTTTTATTGTGACTCTACCCACGCGCACAGTGACATTTATTTATTGTGAATTCTCTCTACTCTTTACCGAACCCCGGCTCTCCATTGGTTTTTTGATTAATTCTCCCCGAAACATTTGGTCTTTCGAGCCGGATCTGCGGGAAAAGTGAACATTGTTTTTTTGTGCGAGAAATTAGTTGCGCGTGGTGTTGGTGAAAAGCGCGGGAAACTGTGTCGCTCCTCCCCCGTGTGACGTAGTGGTGCAGTGGTGCTTAACCCAAACGATTGACATTTGGGCGCGGCACTGACTATTTGAAATCGAGCAGTGGCGCTCATTCTGGGGCTCCAGGATATTTTCCCCTAGGAATTCAGCGGCAGAATTTAAACGGCCTGTTTACTGTACGCTGAATTTCGGTGTTCTTCTGTACTGCAGCTAGACCTTCTCACAGGGAAGTCAATTACCATTTTTAATTTTTTTTTGGGTTTTTTATTTTCTCCTGATTTTGCTGCTGCTTCTGCTTTACTTGGAGTGGTGCTGCGCTGGTCATTGCCTGCTGACGTTGAGCTTTTCTCTGCACCCACGCAGTTCTCTGCTCGCTTGTTTTTACACTCGAGTTATCGAGTTTTTGCATTCGGTTTTTTTTGTGTTTGCTTAGCTTTTACTGTGTTTCTCCTTCCTTATCGCGTCTCTCTGCTTTTGCTACAATGTCTTTCGCAGGGAGAATTATGATTCAAGCCAGTAGAGCGAAATTCATCGAATCTCTCAAAGCAGAATCCATTGCGGCGGGGATCAAGGAGATATCAGTGACCGAACTGCAGTCCAAGCTGGACATCTTGGAGATGTATTCGAGCCAGTTTGAGGAGCAGCATCTGAAGTTGCTCTCTGGAAAAGACAGCGCGGAAATTCTCGAGCATGAGTATGTGAGGAAGCATGTCTACGATAAATGCTTGTAATACTACTCTTCGGCGAGAACCACATTCATCGGACTGGTTAAGTCGCTGGATGATTCTGTGGATCTCTCCGATTCATTTCGTAGGCCTGCTGCACTGGCACCAGCTGCTCATATGACACAGAAACAGTAACCAAAAATCTCTTTACCGACTTTCTCAGGGGATTTTGCTCAGTGGACCCCTTATAAAGATCTTTTTGTCCATGGTCGTCGGCAATGACGCGCTCTCCACAGTGAAAAAGCTCCACTACCTGCTAACTTCTCTGATCGGTGAGCCTAAGCAGCTGGTGTCCACTCTGCCGGTATCTGATGATTCCTTCATTCCAGCCTGGGAAATGCTCATCTCCAGATATGACAATAAGCGTCTCCTCACATCTATCCAGCTGGAGAAGTTGTTCAGTACTCCCAAGATCATCAACCGCTTGGCCAAGGAGTTCAATTCTCTTCTCAACTCCACCACTGAGGCATTAAACGCCCTGAAGACGCTTGGACGCCCGGTACAGCACTGGGATGATATTCTGGTGCGAGTGATTTCGAGTAGACTAGACTCGCAGACGATGGAGGCATGGGAGATTAAGATTGATACCACCACGACCTTCCCATCATATAATGAGTTGGAGGAGTTCCTCCTGACCAGAGCAAGAGCGAGGCAGAGAATTGAGCTGCACGCTCCTGAGAAATCCGCCACCACTGCTCCTCAACAGCCTCAAAAACCGAGACTAGCAAAAGTCCTGAACGTCTCTGCTGGTACTCAGAAGCCATCAGAGCAACGTCCTTTTCTATCATGGGCAGAAATGAGCGAGAACGTCTGCTCCATGTGCTCTGATGGTCATCATATTGACAAGTGTCCGACGTTCAAGCAGTTGAGTCGGGAGAAGAGGAAGGAGTTTGTGGAGAAGCAGAATCTCTGCTTCAACTGCTTGGGCAAGCATTCGCTGCGAAACTGTAGGACCACCAAGAGCTGCGTTGTATGTCACAAACGTCACCATTCAATGATACACATTAACAGCTCTCAGAGTGGTTCTACAGTCACGAATTCTGCAGTTCAGTCTCGAGTGCAACCTTCTAAACCTCGTGAGACCTCAACGATACAGTTCACTGTTCGGAGGCCTGGATCATCTCAGCAGTGAAATTCTCGACCAATGACATCTCTGACAGCGGCCTCCGTAACCTCAGAACTTTCTCAACGGCCATCGCTGTTATGTGATTCTCCATCTGCAATATTTACAGTGCTTGAAGCGTCACCTCAGCTCAGACCAGGTGTTCTCCTCACAACAGCAGTAGCTTCTCTCGTTGGGGAGAATAGAATCTCATTCGAGGTCCGGATGCTGCTGGATCCTGGATCTGAGTTGTCATTTGTTGCCAATAATCTTGTGGTGAAGCTGGGCTTGTGGAAGTCTCCCGCCCTGCTCCCTGTCGTTGGTATCAGTGGATCAAGTATCTGCTCGAATGGATTTTCTCAGTTCTGTCTGAAGTCACTGCACTCAGAAAAACAAATTGAGATCAAGGCCTACATTCTTGACCGTCTCACAACCTCGTTGCCATCGTTCTCAGTATCTCAAACTCAATCGTGGAGCCATCTCAAGGGACTGAAATTAGCTGATCCGGAATTTCTGAAGCCGAGACCTATTGACCTTCTCATCGGCGCGGATTTCGTCGCATCAATTGTGGAGCCACAGATCATCAAGCGGCCTTCAGACTCCCCTATAGCCATGTTCACGATCTTCGGTTAGGTAGTGCTCAGACCTATTTCAGCAGTGATTACAATTGTGTCTAGCTCTAATCACGTCTCAGTCAGTAACGAGGAACTTCACGACCTTCTCACCTCGTTCTGGCTGCAGGAGGAAGTCCCGAAGGTCGAACATAGTGATCTCACGAAGGAGGAGGCAGATTGTGAAGGGTTTTTTCAGCGCACCCATTCTCGAGACAACTCAGGGCGTTATGTGGTTCGGCTGCCTCTTATACGTTCTCCGGCAGAGCTCGGCGACTCTTATGGTCGAGCGAAAGCGTGTCTCACCAGTCAGTTCCGGAGAATGGAGAAGGATCTCAGGACACTTCAGCTTTATAGTGATTTTCTCAAGGAGTATGAAGGCTGGGGCACATGGTACGTGCTTCAGGTGTGTCTTATTCGCGGAGCGCCAGGGGCTTGAGTCTAGGCTGTTGCTCTGAGCGGATGACCTTGGCACATGAGGCTTCGGCTTCAGGAGGGTTGAGGGTCTCTGAGGGGAGGCAGTCGGCTCTTGATTCCATACGGTGTTCTTGTCTAAGACAAACTCACTCTTTTACTCCTACATACTATTTTCTTCACCATGGCGTTCTCCGGGAAAGTAGTGAAACAACGAAGCTGAGGGTAGTGTTCAACGGCTCCAGTAAGACGACCTCAGGAGTGTCACTCAATGACATCCACCATAATGGAGCCAAGCTGCAGAAGGATATCTCCGACGTACTTCTCTGGTAGAGACAGAGCAAGTACATTTTCATGACGGACATCACGAAGATGTTCCATCACATCAAGGTGCATCGAGAAGACTGGCGTCTTCGACAAATTCTGTGGCGAGATTCTGAAGGCCAGATCAGCACTTACCAGCTCAGCACCGTGACCTACGGGACTAAATCGGCTCCATTCTTAGCCTGTAGAGTTCTCAACCAGCTGGTCGCAGACGAGGGATATCGTTTCCCTCTAGCAGTCTCTCGGTGTGGTGGTGCTGAAAAAGAGAATCATCTCCTGAAGGTCTCTAAGCAAGTGATCGATCTGTGCTTAGCTGGTGGTTTTCCTCTAGCAAAATGGCACAGTAATAGCCCATCTCTACTCCGATCTCTGAATCCAGAAGGTGTTTCCCAGGATCATAAGCCGCTAGAGGATTCCACCACTAAGACTCTTGGTCTGACGTGGGATCCGAACACAGACCAACTCAAATTCTCGTTCCACCTGCACGGTGGAACGCAACTCACATTGGCACATCTCAGGAGGGCTTACTGGATTATTGGAGGAAGAACACCAGTAAGGTCGTTCATTCTCAAGTGTGTTGACTGTGTGTGTCAACGTGCCGTGCGTGCTCAGCAACTGATGGGGCAGCTTCCGTTACTACGCATCTCTCCAGCACGTGCATTCTCTAACTGGTGTGGATTATGCTGGAACGGTGTCCATCAAGACGTGGAAGGGGCGTGGCCATAAAACCCAGAAAGGTTGGTTAGTGATTTTCGTCTGTATGGCCACGTCAGCACTGCACCTGGAGGCTGTCACCGACTACTCTGCTGATGGGTTCATCGCTGCGTACCAGAGGTTTGTGAGTCGTCGGGGTCAGTGCAGAAACCTTTTCAGTGATTGTGGCCCGAATTTCATCGGTGCTGACAAGGAGCTGAAGAGGTTGTTTTCAGCTGGATCAAAGGAGTTTCAGCATCTCTCTGCAGCAGTTCTCAAGGACGGTACTCAGTGGTCTTTCAACCCACCTGTGGCCCCCCATTTTGGGGGAAAATTGGAAGCAGCGGTCAAGTCAGTGAAGTATCACCTCTCTCGGACGTTTCAGGACACGGCTCTGACGCTCGAGGAGCTCTCTATGCTGCTTACCCAGATCGAAGCAGTTCTCAACTCCAGACTTCTCCAGGCTCTCTTCGAGGACCCTGACGACATGTCGTGTCTCACCCGGGACATTTTCTGATTGGAGAAGCTCCAATCGCTCTACCGGAACCTTCCCTTGGTGACCTCAACGTTGGACGGCTCTCAAGATGGCAACTAATTCAGCAGAGGTTGCAGTATTTCTGGAAGCAGTGATCAACAGGATACCTGCAGCAGCTCCAGTCCATCTCTAACTGGCACCATCCGTCCAACGGGATTCGCATCGGTTCTCTGGTTCTACTCTCCGATGAAAGGTTCCCGCCTTCGAAGTGGCTTCTCGCTCGTGTCACAACTTTACACCCTGGGAAGGACGGTCCCTCTAGAGTTGTGACAATTAGAACTGCGTCAACAACACTGATCCGGCCGATCTCCAAGCTGGTTTCGTTGCTAATCTCTACCAGCTGAACTGTCGCTGGTCTGTGTTGACACAGTTAATCTCTCTGCTTAGTGTTTCAGGTTCTACCATGGTCTTCTCAAAACCTGGACACCAACAGAGTTGCTGACGGGGGGGGAGAATGTTGAGGCATTAGCCTCGTGGAATTGGGTCACTCCTGTGTCCACTCGTGGCAGCACCTCCTGGGCGCGTACCTGTTTTATCGGGCACGCCCCAATTAATTGAGACCGAGGACACCTGCCGCGACACTCAACTCATCTCGTCTCTTTCGCCTTCTTCTCTAATCGCCTTGTGACAAGCGTGCTTCGTGCAATTCTCTCTCCGCGATTAAATCATTAATTACTGTGACCATCTCTATCGTGAAATTTCTCTACCGGATCTCTAACTATTTGGTAGCCAACAGTGTTCATTTTGACACATATATTTCTTGACTCAGTTGTGTTTTATCAAAAATATACAGCTTTTATTGTGACTCAACCCACGTGCACAGTGACATTTATTTATTGTAAATTCTCTCTACCCTTTCCCGAACCCCGGCTCTCCATCGGTTTTTTGATTAATTCTCGCCGAAACAAATTTAATTAATTAATTTAGTTAACAGCCAACCCTTCTCAAATGTACAGAAGAGAGGGATGATGATGCCGTAAAAACGTATTAGAGGAGTATCAAACTTACACGCAAATGATCGGGAGAAAAAACTCACCAAATGTCTATTTATTTATTAGTGTTATTGTTATTATTATTGTTATTATTATTCATTAATGCAATAAATAAAAATTTAATTGAACATATTTTATCCCTGAGAATACACACGCACATCCGCGAGATCAGGAATAATCGTAAATTCAACGAATACCCCGATACAAATCATATTGGCAACGTACAGTTTACTCAATAGTAATAGCACGATAGCGTAGTGGTTAGGGCATAAGATTAGCAATCATAGGGTCCCCGGTTTGATCCCCAGCATCGGTAAAAAAATAATAAGCTTTTTCAGAGGTAATAACAGTAGAGATTCATTAAGAGAGGCGGCCTACGGTGAAAGAATGGAATTATCTTTTGTTTTGGATTAATTATCATTGATAATTGTTATTGATACTGACAGACAAGTCATCCGGTTTTCATACAGTTGACTTGATCAAGTTCGGATCCATTCGTCCTGATCAAATCCGGATTGGTCAGAGGCGTAACATCTCTGATCAAGACCGGATCCGTCAACTTGATCAATACCTGATCAGTGGTCAGGTCTACCCTGATCCAAACTTGATCAAGACCTGACCGGAATTTCCACTCGGGATGTTAAACAGTAAATTTTAATGTTTGGCAAGTATGGTCGTGCGTCTAATTTCTCATATTGAAAATTACTGTTCCCATCGTAAAAAATACTTTTATATTCTTTCCGTGTATCACAAAAAAATAGGATGTATTATACGTACGTGCGAAAAAGTGAATCTTTACGCACTAGTAACACAATATACTAAAAAAATACAAAAATTGAATCCTCACCGGCGTTATATTTTATCTCGAAATTTTTCTCACCCACATAAAACTTGGCGGCATCTCCCCTGTGGGTTGGAAGGGGGTTGGAGGGGGAAGGCAGTGGTTTTGGTCTTGCTATCTGCGGCCGCTTGCGAAATATTCAAATGAATTTCTAATCTGCGGCAACTCAGGACTCACAGATAGGTACGTACGTATCGCCCACGCTTTTTCATCCCCCTTCCCCAACCTTCCGCATTCATTCTCGGTAGAATGTGGGGTAGAAACATGGGTGGTCTTGCAGAGTCTACAATAATTTTGAAAATTCACCTACTATTTTAATTTCAGAAATTATTACGCCTTTCTCGTTTAATTCTGAAGGGAGGGACGTTGGTGGGGGTAAGGTTCCTGGGGGTTGACTGGTACTGACGCAATGGATCCAAGGGGGACCACCCGCTAGGCGCTAAGCCGATAGGCACTGAATCTATGGTTCTTCTCCTTTTATTTTCCTCCTCTCCTTTACAACTTCTCATTCTCCCGAAAACCCAAGTGTCGTGGCGGAAAACGTCTCTTTAATGCTCTTAGCATCGTCACGGCTCTACGGGTCTTCTCAAACTTGAGGGTAGGGGGTGGTTTTTCGAACCTTCACTGCACTCACCTCATTTTCACCCTTCGACGAGCTCTTCTTAACGTGTCGCTTCCCGCCGAGCGAGGTAAATACCTGCCAACAGACAAATTACTCCTTACTGCTCTATTGATGGTGTTCAGATTTTTTTGTGTGATCATTCGATCAAGAAAACAGGTTAATTGAGTTAAATTCCTTCCGATTTATGTATTTATTTATTGTTGCTTCCCAATTGGAGCATTGTAATCGTTCAAATTTAAGTTTTGCATTTTTTGTGTCATATCGACTCACTATGATCCAAAAAGTCCGAAAATGCCATTTTTGGACCGTGGCCTTACGTATGTCTATGTATCTGTATGGTAAAGGTTTTCTTCAATTGTTCGCTAATGAATAGATGGAATTGAATCTTTTTTTTTCAAATGTAGGTATTATTGAGCCTTATCGATTGCCATTAATTCAAATTTAATTCGTCGAATAGTTTTTTCAATTTTTGAATTTTTTCGGAAATCGGTTGTCTCACGACCGATGACTAAACAAAATGTTCTGAATTGATTGAATGAGGGCTTAAAAATTTTGTTTGGATGTCCCTTTGACCGATTTCGAAGATGAAGACGATAGTAAT